CATATACATCTGGACTACTAAATTTTGTGGGCTATGATCGCAACAACCACATCCATCGGATTTTCAAATGCTTTATCCTTTTTTGCCTCTTCAAACAAAAGATAAATCACCACCATGGCTTCTCCATCACTAAAAATAAAGCTTCGATTATCAGGACCAAAGCAAACAGAGTCACAACCTGCCTCACCTGCATTAGTAGTCAAAACACCTACAAGGGATGAGGACACACCCTCAGTCGAGAGTCCTCGTAAAAGAGCTAAAGCAGGTAGTGGAAGCAGTCGTAATCGAAGATCTAAAACTACAGAGGGAACACCTCTACCAGACACGTAAATAACTATAGATCGACCTTGATTAAAACACTAACACTACATTCTATATATATAGACCACTAATAGCAGATGACGATTCAACAAGTGTAGCAGCGGACGAAGGTATGTGCCGGTAGCTTACTTTTTTGTTTTATATAAACATCTTGCTAACAGCATATTAGCTTCTACCACAGGACGAAGAGGGGCAGGAGGAGGCATGCAAGGCGGTGCCAGCGCTAGTACAACGATCACAAAGAAGGAACTCTTGAAGCATAAGGATATCAAAGTCAGAAAATGGACATGCAAACCACTAGCGTTTTATACACTAGGCGGCGGCTTGGTTGAAGTTCCTAATTGGAGCACAGGTATAATCATCAGAGATTAAATAGCCAGGATAACTGGATTAACAAGATTACATAGACGAAAAAATGAACCTTAATGAAACAACAACAGAACCTATTACCGCAGCTGAGATAGATCAACTCTTCTCGTCAACAGCAGCAGAAAAAGACTTTCGCCCATTCTTATGCACACAGCCCGGATGTTCAAAGGCATTCACTTCTTATGATCAGCTTCAGACGCATGAGACAAACATGCATGGAACCAAGAAACTGGTCTGTGGCATTGATGGCTGTCATAAGAGTTTTGTGACATCAGGGCAATTGACAAAGCACCGCAAGATGGTACATTTCCGTGCAGCTAGAAAGGCCAAACTGGCGGCGGCAGCAGCAGCAGCAGCAGCGACAGCGCCTGATACACCAACAGATTCAACGGTAAATGGAACAGATAATAGAAAAGAAGACGATGAAGATGAGGATGTATCCACTCCAACCACTAGAGTAACAGATGACAACGTCGAGGTTTAAGTAAACATCGCGCATATAAAAAATAAACTATAAACTTTGTTACAGCTTCCTATTCCTTATAATAGGGACATTTTAAAATGTTTTCTCTATTTTATTTTCTGTATATTTTGGTGATGTTTGATGCATAGTGACTATAGTATCATGGTGGATTCCATGTCAATGGATGGGCCCAATGCTTTGCCACAATATATTCAGGTACTGTACTACACACATACAGTCTGAACAAGAATCTTGAAAACGAAAGCTCAGACCTCAAAAGGGTCCATCATGAACCATATAGCTATTAAAATAGAGGCTCAAAATAAGATTATAAATAAAGAAATGACGTTCTAATATGTGGATCAGAAGCTTACATAATCAATCCTCCAAGTGTGTGTCTGCTTGTTGCTGAAAAGTCACAACCAGGAAATTAAAGATGATGCCGACAATTCAGTTATCCCTCTTTCTACTGCTCTAACCTAGCCTATAAAAAGACACACATACAAAAGCAAGGATAAGATAGGCCTTAAAGGATGACGGGTAGACATCAATGTAATTGACAAAAATGAAGAAATTTAAATTTCCAATGAGCTAAACTTTTTGATTTAAGCAGCACAATATGCACGTTATGCTTCTTCAAATCAGCCTTATCCCAATGTAGCTGGAAACAATAATAATCTCAACATTCCGTTTCCTTCACAGAATAGTAGCACTCCGTACTCTAGTCAGCAATATCAGTACGGCAATAGTCCCTCGATGCCTTCACCATACTCCAGTTCATCCTCACCAGGCTATCATTCACCCAATGTCCAAAGGAATGCTCAAAGTATACCATTAAAGAAATATACAATGCAACCTCCACCGCGAAAGCTCCCTTTGAGCAAAACAATGCCCTCCCTCGGCTATCCAGACATATTCCCTCAGCGTCCTGGACAAGAAGAGGACATTCTAACCGAATCTAACATCCGTCAAGGTTTCATTGACAAGCCAATCGTTTCAGTAAGTTTACGCTAGACAATCAACAAAAACTTAATCGCTTAATGCATCTTTTTACTCTAGAGCGAAAATAGTTCAGCTCATGATATCATTTGTGGGAGACTTCAAGAAGATCAACGTGCATTAAGCGATCTTAGTGATTTTATAGTTGACGTATTGCACAGACAACATCGAGCCAGCTACATCACTGGGTAACTATACATTATAATTTTTAGATTATTGTTTTCGCTGATCATCTCCTAGGTCATCTTCTTTCAAGCCTCCTATGAGAACAACCTTGATAGATGCTAAAAGAGAGCAGTGGATGCATGAGCTAGCATCCGGAGTAATTCCGTTACGAAAGCTTGCTCGAAACGTGCCTCATGGATTTAAAGGTGAGAAGTTGTTGGAAACATTGGCTATCAAACAAGTGCCTTTTCTAAGGGCAACATGGTATATCAAAATTGTTGGTCTTTCGGAAATGGTAAATAAAACCACATATTTTTCAGCATATGTGCTCACTTGCTTATTATTTAGAGTCAAAGAAATGCAAGCAATGCAGCAGCATCGATGGGCCCACAGACAATACAGTGGACAATGACTGTGACAAGTTATTTAAAGAAGCAGCTGGGCGAATTAATGCCCTCACATTATGGAAATGCAAATAGTGCGGCAAGCCCACATGCAACAGGTGGAGCATCCAATCGTGGATATAAAAATTACAGTCACCATGACAACCCATCTAAACCATGGCTATCGGCTGAGAGCAGATCAAAGTTTGAGCAGAAATGGACATACAGCGTCAAATTGACTCACTGGCAATACTATGAAGGACTTTTAGATCAACGAACGTTTTTGAAATGGTCACTTGATACACTAGCTGCTAGCTCATCTTTTGAAATCATGTGGGTGATACTGACAGGACTTGTACAAGACTATGTAAATGAATATAAGCGGAACCGAACCCTTACAAAACTGCTGATAGAGACACTGATTAGATATTATAATGCTGTAAGATACACACATACACGCATTATTCAAGATCATCTCTATTAAAAATCATTCTATTAGCTCATACAATGTATAAACCAAGGAACATCAGATGAAGCAGAACGAAGAGTGCATTGTGGGCTTCAAAGGGATATAGAGACATTATTACAGGTAAATAATATACATACATCAAGATTTGGCACTTATTTCATGCAAAGTCACTTTTTCTTTCTGCTCCTGACATGTTTGTAATACCTAAACTGTACCATCAGTATCACCACTTGCTCAACATGATTATTGGTGAAGACAGCAATACAGGAGTTATGAAGAGTTCACCAGATGTGCGTCGTATGATGAATGAATACTGGACAATGGTTAAGGCACGTAATGAAGTGTTTTGCGGAAATATGGAAAACAATGAGATGAAAGTAGATAAAAACATAAAATCACAAAGCCAATCATCATCTGTGCATATTCACGATGATGGCAATGAAGAACGAATAGTGCATATTCTTGACAGCATCGGTAAAAATGTCGATAGTATCACGGGATTACAGATAAAAGGAGATATATGGGTGGATGCGCGTGGCCGCTCAGCAAAATGGGCTGCAAAAGCCATATTTAGATCAAGCAGTCCATCGGAACCTGAGAGTGTTGTTAAGATCGTACATTCAATGTGTAGATGGGCTATCAATGAAGCTAGGTATGGTGATTGGAAAGCGTACCTTATTGCATCTATTTTGTTATCATGGAAAGAAGACAATAATACGACAGAAATCAAAACGCTCCTACAAGAGATACTCATCCGATTCTTGGACGGTGAGACGTACTCTGAAAACATGAGTGAGGATACTGAAGATGTTGATGTGGAATATACAAGTGAAGGTAAAGCAAACAATTTCATTTATTTCTAAATACTCATATATACTTTTCGTAAGATACCAAAGCAACAAACCAGCACATCATTTATTTGTTTGATGTTTTAATAAGGCTGAACTTATTTTCATATCAAAAGTATCTACTAAGACTAATTGCAAGAGGCGACCTAGAACCAAAAAGACGATATGAGTCCCATATTCAGCGACGCCTTCACTATCTAGCATCCTTTCCGTTAATCATACCTACTCCTGCTTATTTAAAGAACCAAAGGCGGGTTGCACTCTACGGATCTCGTCAAGATAGCGATAAGGAAATAGAAAATGAAAGCCTCAACAACCTAAAGCACCTTGCAAGGCTTTCTGTGATGGGATTTGATCATCACGATACAGACTGCCTTTTTGGTGCTGATGCACAAGATATGACACAGCCTTTGTCAACAGATACCTTTGATTCGTACAATTTAGCATTCTCTCAAGAACTGAGGCAAAAGTTTGTGGAAATGATGGAATCTACAACACGGTTTGTAGTACTAGAGTTCACAAGTAACTGGTTGCTTAATGAAGTAAAGAGATTTGTTGTCAAAAGCATACAGTAAGCAAAAAAATATTTATACCAGCACTGCCTTTAACTGCTTGCTTTATTGTAGGATTGGTGAGGATAACTGGAGAGTAATGACAACCCCTGGTTCTTCCTTGCTTAATTCTCGTCAGTTAGTCACTATTATTTATATTATGGAATGCGCAAAGGATTACTTAAGTATCATAGAGACAGCTATATGGGTTCTTCAAAAGACAAACGACCATTCACTGCATCCTTTTATCATCAATACATTTAGAAAGTATTCTTGTTACTGGAAATTGACCAACAGTAGTAATAGAGTGATTAATGCTATTTGGACAAAGGTGAACGAGATTTGGGCCATGTTTAATCATATCTAATCATTACTTTTTTTTTTTACAGCATGCAAGCCTCTCTTCAAAGGGAGAAAAGGATAGAAATATTATGATGTATATGGTTCAACTTGTGCAAGAAGGCTATCAAATGGATGACATTACCCGTACACAGTTACAACAAGACCTGCAAATCAAGTCAAAGATGCGTAGTCATTATATGAATAATATATCAGTGAAGAATGAACTTTTACAGCTTGCCAAAGATCCCAATAGCTCATCTGTGCAGCTTCTCGCAGAGTCTTTATCACTACCCTCTCAAAACGCTACCGGCTGGATCGGTCTTATCTTTGAGAATGTTGGAGAAGTTTTACAGATAGTCAGCAAAGAAAAGCGAATTTACGAAGAAATTAAAAGTTACCGCCACGGACGATTCTTGTCACAAGCACTATTCGAATTTCATCGGCTGCTACGAGCATTTGCTTATGTGATTAAACAAGTGGCTAACGCAACCATCCTGACAGGACAAGCCGACGCTGCAGTAACATATTGGCTATGGAACAATGGAGTAGTTCAAGAAGATATGCACAAAGAAAATTCATGGGTTCCTCTTTTTGTGATCATGCTTGTAACCAATAACCTTATCACTTTGGATGTGCTCATCAAGGACTTTGCTGTGCCCTGGTTTGAACGAATTGGACAAGAAGGACATCAACAATTCTGTGCTGATGATGCAAAAGTGAACACGTTTTGTCAGAATTTAATTATTTTGATCAGGTTATTGGTCATTCAAAATGATAATGAACCCAAATCTGAAGAAGAATCGGCCACGTTATCATGGCAACTTAGAATAGAAGAATTTTTCTTGCTGGAGGTACAGCGACAGTCCCATCTGGCATGTAGTCTTGATAGGATCGAACCATTGTTTAGCCTTATGGAACAAATCATCATGATTGCTACCAATCTGCCACTAAGCTCTTCTTTGTTACAAGATCTTGTCATGCTTCGGGCTGACTTGCTACATATATCTTGGTTTAGACAAGCTTGCTTACGGGATCTTAATGGTGTATATCAACGATTTGCATCTCGTGAAGCTGAAGCAGTGACAGAAAAGCGACTGAAGAAGAAAATGTTAAATATTGTCGAAGAACTTATAGGCGGTGATCTATTAGCTACTCAAACCATGATGCAAGACACAGCACCAAATTTTGTAGATAAACTTCAGAGAGTTTTCTTGAATGTGAGTCAATGGAATGAGGCTCAATGTCGTGTCCAGATGAATTTGCTTCTCGATAATATATCTTTGTATGACGCCAGTAATCAGAATCCCAACAATCCACATATCTTGAGCGACGATCTCTCAGTGAATATTACTCAACACACACTGGTATCGCCGCCGAACAAGGACTTACATACCTTTGTTTGCTTTTTTTATGATGCTGTGCTTTCAGATGGAAAAGATGACGGAGAAAAAGCAACTACCTTACGTCGATTTCAATTCTTCAAAAATTTAATTCATGAACTACGAGAACCTGTTCTATCTGAACTCCTAACTCATGGCATTCGCTTACTAGAGGGCGACACTTCTCTGTCATTTCCTGAAAATATGCTTTTAATTCATGCTGCTGATCAAGGCTCACAATTTGATGCAGATAAATTTACTTATCGAAGCCAAGCGTTTCTGAATATAATACAGCATATGTTGGCAGAAAACATCTGGCCCAATGAAAAGAAAATCGAGTTGGTGAAGAATATATACCGTCAGATTGTGCGATTTAGAAACAGTATACCCGTCTACAAAGTGATGCAAGGAGCAAATGTTTGCTTTTCGGAAGCTGCTGCTGCCATACAGATAGCTAAAAATGATACAGTAAGTGACCATAGATCATGTTTGCTGAATATTACTCACTGTGTGTTAAGGATATGGCTATTATCATGCTTTTGACCGAAGGATTACCTGAAAATGTACAGATAGATAATGAAATTAAGCTGACATTACAAGAACTTCGAACCAGGTAATGGAGACACGCTGATGCCTGATGCCAGTTTTCTCACTTTTATAATAGTTTATTGCTGAGATTGCAATTGATCGTACCTTATATGTCACTGATATGGGAGCATCCAAAGGAAGATGAATGCGATATTCTCGATTGGATTCGTACTTTAGTCCCTCTTTTAGGCGTAAGTAAAGCAAGTCTCTTTTTATAAGCCTACTTATAATGATATAGAGTCCTTTAATTCACGGGAACGGTAGCCAGGAACAGTTTTTTGAATTTATGCTTGATTTCATGTCGCTATTGATTGATGGTAAGAAGACAATATGATATATGTAGATGATCACTCATCTTTATGTCTACAGAAGTGCCAAAGGAGCTGAAGAAGGCTAGTTTACAACTATTGAATGTAAGCATTGGCAAAACCATGATCGACAGTATAACTAATACATTTATAGTCTATGCATAACGAATTAAGCTCTGTTCCTGGAATGTTTCAAACTCGAGTCAAGCGCATCATGCCTTTCTTGACTCATAATATTTATTTAAATAGTACACGATTTGCATCCTCAATTCTAGGCCTACAGTCTAGCACTGATCCTCAACAGCAACAACAACACTTGGAGGCATGCCTTGAGCAAAGTAAGCCTTGGGAATGGCTTGAAGATTATGCAAATGAAACATCGCATGACAACGATGCGCCTATAAGTTTAACACTTTTCAATGCTCTTAAACCCAAGTCTGTAGATAATACTTATGTAAAATGGTTCAAATTTGGCTTTGACGCTGAAGTACCAAATCAAAACTTTACCGAAGAACGTACAAGTAAATAAATCGTTCTAATATCTGCTAAACCCTTTTTATGAATATTACGTTGTTGTATAATTAATAAAATACACCCAACACCGAGCTGCACCAATTTTGAAGGAATGCTGCTGAATGAATCGTTACTGAGAGGAGTCTTTGAAGTAACTGTAGGTGCATTATGTCCTCCCTTATCATCATTATCTTCAATTCTAAGCTTACTGAAGGCACTATCATATGTCTCTTCAAGACCAACGTAGCTCTTATCCGCTTGCGTAAAAATAGGAAAAGGGTAAAGTTATCCAGATAAATAGAAGTACCTGCATTAATGCCCAAGACTTGGGCTCAAGCAGCCAAATAGACAGGGAGCATTTAGGTGTATAACTATGTCAGATGAAAACTAGGTTAACGATCTCTTTTTTCAAAGAGATGATTTGCTGTTCAGCAATACGAAGTCAGTCGTGTAAAATGGTATACCATAAGTTTTTAATCCGAAACCAGAGTTTTCGTTTAAACATGATATTTTATAGATGGTCCAAATGAGCGCAAAAATAAAATAATAAATCAAACGTCCGCCCGGACCCGTTCAATCCGTTTGGAAGTGAATGTTCGGAAAAACCCCTTATGGGAACAAGGAAAAAAAATGTAAAAGGAAACTAATGAGTAGGGTTATCGATGAAGAGTTAAATGAATTGCTTTAAACACACAAGAAGCTTTTTACCATGGGGATGCTTTGTAGGGATCAATTTGTTATGGTGTAGCTGATCTAATTCATGTAGTAGAGAGCATAGAATCAACCACCGTTGAGACCAGGTTAGGGCTAGGTTTGGGGGAACCGAAGGGCGTAAAGGAAGCATATTCAGAAGGAAGGACAATGGATCTCGTATAGTTTTAAGCATGGACAGACGTTGATGCATATCAAGGCAACTAATAGCGTTATTCTTAGATAGCTGTTGCGTTGGGTGCTTAGGGCATGGTTGAGGCTTGCCACCAGGAAACAAGTCTAATCTCCAGCGTATACAGCGACTGCACACTGACTTAGGCATGGGCAACCAGAGTATAGGATCCACAGAGGTTGATCGGCGGCAGCTAGAAAGCAATTTGGAGTTTCGGCATCGTTGGTGGATCTCTAGATTCTGTTGCAAAAAGCGTCGTTTAGCAGCCTTGAGTGAGCGAGTATCGGGTTCTTCAGTAGTAGACAGCACCGTTTTCCAAAGTGATGTACGAGAGAGAGTACCACTGGATTCCTGTGGCATTGCGGATATAAGGTAACAGACAAGCAAGCAGTGCATCTTCTGGCAAATATAAGAGTCGCTTACTAAAACTTTTTTTTGGTTATACGGTTAAATGGCCATTTATTTACAATTAAAACCTCCAGTGAGCGCGCGATAATAATAATATATCCTCTTTGCCCGAGGCAGATCAAAAAATAATAAAGAATTGGTAACTAAAAAACCCTTATGAGACCAAGGGTAAAAAGGTTATCAAAGAAATGATGCTGGACCAAGTGTAAGATACACTAGTGAGGAAAAAGAGGGAGCCAATCGAGGAGTCTTTGTCCGAGGCAAGAGGGCGGAGAAGGTGGACACTTCTGATGATGAAGGTAATTTAATTCATGAAGGAACGTGCAGATAACTGGCCATCAGAAGGTCCATGGGAGAGCGACTTGAAAGGAGCGTGGTTTCTCCGTAAAGTATTAAACAGATTTCTATTGTATTTTAATCTATTTGTATAATGGGTATGAATTAATAACAACTGTAAAGGAATAAGAAGAAATGATGAATCTTGTTTTTTCGCGTGTAAATATCAGTAGAAACTTATATAAACCTGTAGACACCATCTAGATATGAAGATATATTTTGAATCATTGACATACCATGATGATGAATATTACATCAACAGACATTTATTGAATTACCTTACCCTCCAGCGCCCGCTAAATTAAAAGAGTTTGTAGAAAAAATTCCAGAGATACCTCAATATCGTCAAGGTATTCTTGATTTGGTTAAAAATTACGAATGATTTTTTTATTTCTATCGATCTTGTTTTATCTCATTGTGTAATTTGAGTAAAACGTATTTCCTTATTTATCTCTATATGTTTAAAATACTGTGATCTTACAGTGTTAAATGCGACAAGAGCGGCATTTATTTTCACCTTTATACGTTGCTATACTTTAGTTTATTCATTCACTATTACTGTATTTTTATTAATTATTGACGTAAAAAGACAACAAAGAAAAATATGTTCGAATAAAACGACATCATGTCAAAAGAGAGAGAAAGATAATTAGTATATGTAGAAAAAGAGAGAAAAAGCAGGTTAGTATTAGAGCACATATCCTAATATTAGTTTTACTTACCACCAAGGTGCATTATGGGGAGGGTAGCGATAACTATCCAAGATAGTTTAAAAAAAAAAAAAAAAAAAGGAAGACTGAGAGAACCCAGAGCACAAGAAGAGGCAATCGGGAGAACGTTCCAGATATACACGTCAGAGAGTAGAGAGGACGGACAAGCGAGTCAGAGCAAGAACCATGAGAACAGGCTAGTTTTGTTTGGTGAATCTTTGAACACTCAGAGGGACATTTGATAACTGCTGTAAAGAAGTAAAAAAAGGACTCAATTAAAATGGGTTTTTATATGTCTTTCAAACAAGCTTCAGGATCAGGTACCTGGAACAAAGAAATCATACCAAATAGGAGAAATCTACATGGTGATTATTTAAGAATATGTATTGCCAAATATAACTACATACTCTTCTGATTTCATGGAAAAACCGAATAAAGAATTTAAACTTTTACAAAGAGACTAAAGAGAGTTATTCTAATATTAAGTTAATTTCAACTCCAAGATAGCCCACCTGTTAATATTACTGTCGAATGGAATGGTGAGCCATATTCTTTTTGTATTTGTTATTACTCTGATAACATTACAACGGTTTCAATATGACATCTCAATTTGGAAATACAGTATATCCATGGATGTCAAGGTTGATACTACGAAAATATTCTTGACGACGACGAATTTACATTTCGTACAGTACGAGTTTTGTTCTCACCATTGGATGCATTTATTTTCGATCACAGGCGAATTTACTTTCCGGAAAGAGTGTATAGCCAATGCTTATAGAAATGACTTCCTTCGACAAGCGACAACCGCAACTATATCAAGATGTCGCACGATCTACTGGAGGAGTACAAGCAAATAATGGTCATGGACGCCTCCTCCAAGAAGCACTTTGGGCACAACGTGATGGCCAGCAAGTTACTATCGACGTTCAAACAAATGTGCTTCGATGGCAACTTGCTAATTGGAATAGCTGTTGGTGGGGAGACTGGCGTGCAAGTTTCATCGATGTTTCCTTTCCATTTAAACGCCAGTCTTCTCCATGGCACAATTTGTTCCAAGTGCACCTTTGATGAGTTCGTGTCGATGAAGCTGGATTTCAAGATAGTCAACGACATGGACGATCGCATGTAAATATTGTATATAGTCTTTGCAAACGCTCTTGTAAATAAATCATATTGTCAATAACAAAAAGGCTCTTCTTTTTCTAAACATAAAAAGTATTTGAAATATTCATTATTTCCTTTACGCATATTAATATGCGAGATATGATGCTTTCGTCTTTACGTGTAATTATTTATTTTGTAAGATGCAACTAGTACAAGCCCTCCTAATAACAAAGAAGACGGCTTCAATAAAATATCTAAAATGTAACTTCAGAAGGGAAATAAAGGACAGCTTGAGGTTGCTTTGGTAAAGTGTATTAGTATATTAATATGATGGTGTATGAGAGCTCATTTCCCTATAAGCTTAACCTTGCTACTTTCGTTCTTCTTACTTGACTAACTCTCACATATATATGTTTGTATCTTTTCTTTCTTCCTTTCCTTTATCTACTATTATCATAAAATTTAAAAACCCAAAAACACTGTGACTGATCGTATCATCACTTTAATATACCTGAGCTACGGCTCCATATAAAAAATCTTTTTTTTTTTCATAGTGTCAACATGAACATTAGACAAGCAACTGTAGGGTTTCATAGGTGTGTATAGTTTCCTTTTGTCTTAAATGCATTTTGATAGGTAGAAGACTTGATTTATATTCAAAACTGTAATTTATTGGATCTTCCAGAGAATTATCAAATGAAGTACTGTAAGTGTTGACATGCACACTTTATGCTTAGCCATTAATGTTACAAGACCTTTATCATGCTTTATCTTGGCCACAGTTATCATTTGTTGCTGAAGACGAGAATGGAAAGATTGTTGGATACGTGCTGTCAAAGATGTTTGTTTACAAAATACTATATCTTTCTTTACAACTAAACTTTGTTTTATAAGGGAAGAAGAACCATCTGATGTACCTCACGGACATATCACATCTATCTCAGTTATGCGTACATACAGACGCTTAGGTATCGCTCAAAAGCTAATGAGACAGGCAACAACGCAAATGCTTGAAGTATTTGGTGCTCATTATGTGTCATTACACGTTCGTAAAACAAACCGTGCTGCCATCGGTCTTTACAGAGATACTTTGAAATTCGAGTAAGCGATATAAGGGAAAGTGAATACCATGACTTACTATTGATAATAGTGTCTATGATGTTGAAAAGAAATATTATGCTGATGGAGAGGATGCTTTGGCTATGCGCTTGACTTTGAAAGAAACCAAGCCTATTGTTGCTCGTAAGATTGTTGAAGAGGTTAACCAAGTGAACACAGTTGATGCACATTAATATAAATATATTTTTATTCTACATTTTCATCAATAAACTTTTTTACTTTTTCTAGTAATTCGACCTTGATTGACTCGAGAATGATGGCTAAGATACATTGAGTAAAGCAATAGCTTGGATATTTTTGTTATACATACAATTGGCATAATCTTCAACTTCTTCATAAATCTGTTCAAAAGTGGCATTTTCCATATGCTTTGTGCGAACCATTTCTATGTTTCTTGTTAACCTTGTTGCTTCCCCTTTAACTTAAAACTACACACCTCGGCAATAAGCACTAAGCTGTTCATTCCACTCTGTTTCTGCTAATCGTTTTTCGAGCCATTGTAGTAACCTGACAGTCAGTCAAAATCAACCAGCCATTTCCGTCATGTGCGTTGGCTTACTTTTCTTTTTCTCCTGAATCCACAAAGAGTTGGTTGACGATTGTTCGCAAGTCTTCTGGATCGGACATTTGCAAACAAAAAGAAGGGAAAGAAAAAGTGGACAATGTCTATTCTCACTGTTGCATCCAGTGACTCGTATAAATTGTTTTTTTTTTAAACAGTTTTTTTTTCTGCATAATTGTTATGCGGAAATGAGCAGTGATTTCAGTTCAAACCTTTCACCCAAACCAACAGCGACTTCAGGAACATTACAAAGCAGACTAATTCGCATAGTGAAAGCACAGACAAGCTTACTTGTAACAGATCTAAACATAAATAACTATATTGAAAGGTCAACTGAAATCAATACTGTAAGTGATCCCATGTTTCTCTTACTTTGCGCCCATGGCAATAACTTCTACATTAGCTAATCAAAGTATATGGAGAAGACATTCGAAAACACCTTTTTTACTATTTACTAGTGGATATTTCCAAAGACTTGAAAAGCAGCTCACCCCAGGTTACATTATTAACCAGCCATCTCTCACTCGATCACTCCCTCATAAGTCTCTGTCATGCCTTTGGCCTATTGTGTACTCAAAATACATCAATAGACCTTGATGCTCTCTTTACCTGTCTTGAATTGGATTACTTTAGCAAAATTATAATTTCTGTATCCTTGTTCCGTAACGCAAATAGACAAATCTACAACCAAGGTAACAAAAGTATATTATTATTTTATGCAGCTTTTTTACTCAGATTCTGTTGTAGTCATGTCTATCTTTAAAACAGATTCAACGAGAGCAAAAGATATGCTGACCAACACTATCATACCTTCAAATCTCGCCTTATATTTCATTGATTGTTTTGCGACAGCCATAAGTGATAAAGTATATGAACCTACCAGCAAAGATTTGGAGTGGATCCTAATGCTAGCTAAGCAATACCCTTCGGATAATGATACCTACATAAACGTATTTCAAGCAATGCTCCTAGAATCAATCCAAAAAGAAGAGACAAGCTATCTAAGAGACACCCTTATAGCATGTAAAAGCCAAAGTCTTTCAACAGAAGACACAATTCGATTTATAGAGCACCTAGTTGAGACTTATGTTCGATGGCCAACCCTGACTGAGCCAATACTGCAGACAATAAATGAGCAAGAGGTATAATAAAAAACATATAGTTTCTTTTGTCATGCATTTCTAATATGCATACACGTAGATGCTTCCTTACATGCTTAATATATTGCCACCAATAATCTCTTTAGACTTGGCTTCTGCAGCAAGCCGTCAAAATATGATAAACTTGGAAACGTGGCTCCCGCAAAAAATGAAGGCTCAAAGTGATATATTCATACCAGCATGCTTAGATTATCTTTCTCAAAAAATAATTATCAAGGCATACTCTATTCAACAAGAAGTAAATGGGAGTAAGCCTGTTTTGCCTTCTGCTAAAGAATTGGAAATCATTTTGAAAACACTGGCAAATAGGTATGGGCATGTCGAAAAATACATCAAACTGTTCCTAAGCAAAAAAGCACTCATACTCACATGGTAGTATCACTTCTCCCTATCAGTTTGAGCAATATATGAAACTTCAGAACCAATGTTATATGCTATATCCTGACCTAATCAATACAAATATTAACATACAAGATATTGAACGAGAAGCTGATGCTTATTACGAACGCCTTTATAACGATCAGCTCTCAGTAGATGATATGCTCAGTTTAATGAAACAACTAAAGACTGTAGGCAACCGACAAGAACAACAGCTATTTCAGTGCATGATTCATGTTCTTTTTGATGAATATGAATTTTTTTCAAAGTATCCAGAAAAAGAGCTTATGATGACAAGTAAACTATTTGGACAGCTTATCCAACAGGACATTATGCCAGAAGATCAGCTAGATTCATGTTTTCTATTTATATTAGACGCCCTACGTAATTCGGCACAGCCAAGGATGATTGCTTTTGGCATAGATACTGTCAAGCAATTTATAGATAGACTAGATGAATGGCCGCAGTTTTGTAAGAGTATAGTAGAACTTCCTGGACTTGTACAAGTTCAACCAAGGTTTATTCATACAGTAAGACGAACCTTGATGAGAAGCCGTCCGATCTCTTTTACAAGCATTCATTTGCCTGCTATCCCAAATTCGGCAATGTCTGAACTTGATGGACTGTTTGAAGTGCCTGAAGAGAACACACAAAGAAGATTAATAACAGCCTTCAACTCCATTCAACAGGATAGCACTCAGAGTAAAATAGAAGAATTTACACAAGTGCTAAAACCAACATTCTACCAATGGTTTAGCCGTTACTTGATTGCCGAGCACATTATTGCAGGATCAGATAATCAAACATTGTGTTTATCTATCTTGAGACACATCAACTCGAAGCTATTGGATGCCTGTGTGTTGTATGAGTCTTTTTTAAATATTTTACATATTTTACATACAACGGATGTTAGCACTGCTCATTTTGATGCACTTACAAACCTTGGCTCATGGCTAGGGAAGATCACATTGGCTCAGAACAAACCAATTTTAGAGAAGCATATGGCAATGAAGGTAGATTAAAAGAGAAATAAAAGTAAATAGTATAAACCTTTCTTTTACAATAGGGGTTACTGCTGCAAAGCTATGACGTCGATCGGTTAACTTTGACTTTACCTTTAGTTTGCAGAGTACTAAAACAAGGCTCTTATGGAAGAGTATTTATACCTCCTAATCCTTGGCTGATGGGTATTCTATCATTACTAGCTGAAATCTACGAATATGGCGATATACCAGTCGGCTTGAAACATGAAATAGAAGCACTGTGTAAGAGCTTGTCTATTAAATTAAAAGGTACATATTGCTTCTGTAAGCAAGACACTACTTTAACCATCAAACTCTACAAGCAGATATCAACATAGCATCAATATTAAGAAATAGAAGAGTAATAGATTATTAGCTTATCCTATTCAACTTTTAATCATTTATCTGTAATTATTACAAAATGACATAAACTTTATACAGCAATGATAGATGGTACAATGGAGCTATACTTTTTTAAACTAAAAGAAAATAACTTTAGAATATGGCTTTCTATATCTTGCCTCTGTAGACCTTGTCTGCATATCTACATGCTTCAGATTCTGTATGTCACCTCGTTTATCCTGCTATACACTCTTTCCGGAAAGTAAATTCGCCTGTGATCGAAAATAAATGCATCCAATGGTGAGAACAAAACTCGTACTGTACGAAATGTAAATTCGTCGTCGTCAAGAATATTTTCGTAGTATCAACCTTGACATCCATGGATATACTGTATTTCCAAATTGAGATGTCATATTGAAACCGTTGTAATGTTATCAGAGTAATAACAAATACAAAAAGAATATGGCTCACCATTCCATTCGACAGTAATATTAACAGGTGGGCTATCTTGGAGTTGAAATTAACTTAATATTAGAATAACTCTCTTTAGTCTCTTTGTAAAAGTTTAAATTCTTTATTCGGTTTTTCCATGAAATCAGAAGAGTATGTAGTTATATTTGGCAATACATATTCTTAAATAATCACCATGTAGATTTCTCCTATTTGGTATGATTTCTTTGTTCCAGGTACCTGATCCTGAAGCTTGTTTGAAAGACATATAAAAACCCATTTTAATTGAGTCCTTTTTTTACTTCTTTACAGCAGTTATCAAATGTCCCTCTGAGTGTTCAAAGATTCACCAAACAAAACTAGCCTGTTCTCATGGTTCTTGCTCTGACTCGCTTGTCCGTCCTCTCTACTCTCTGACGTGTATATCTGGAACGTTCTCCCGATTGCCTCTTCTTGTGCTCTGGGTTCTCTCAGTCTTCCTTTTTTTTTTTTTTTTTTTAAACTATCTTGGATAGTTATCGCTACCCTCCCCATAATGCACCTTGGTGGTAAGTAAAACTAATATTAGGATATGTGCTCTAATACTAACCTGCTTTTTCTCTCTTTTTCTACATATACTAATTATCTTTCTCTCTCTTTTGACATGATGTCGTTTTATTCGAACATATTTTTCTTTGTTGTCTTTTTACGTCAATAATTAATAAAAATACAGTAAATGACCAATGAAGCATTCTGATAATTATTCAATTCATAGCAGTAACATTTGAAAGTAGGGACAGCGTACAGATGGTTATGAAAAAGGGTATTTTGAACTAGTTTTTGTTGTATTGCTAATAACAACACTCCTTTGCTCTGTATAGTTTAAAGTGTCCAACCGCAGTCTTTCACACAGACTCAACTCAAAGAGAGTTTGCTTATTATTCCACTTTCATTCTAAACTTTAGTTTTCCGATGCTTGAGGCAATTAAGTCGGCTGAAAGATACTACAAGAGATATGGGATTAACTGGAAGAAATAACAGTTTCTATTAAGCTATTGGCTCAATGCACTTTAAGATACAAAATAGAACAATCGTTATTCATTCTCTTTCACTTTGGATAAACCAGCCCTTAGTATATTGTTATGTATAAACTAATCAGTTCTATCTTTTCATTTTCAAGTAAAATATGTTTATTAGAAAGTATCTGTGTGTGTAAAGAAGTCTCAATCATAATACAAATAAGGGAAGAATTGTACGCTTAAAATAACCGTGCAGCATCAAATTATGATCATATAGGCTCAATCAGTTATCTAATGGTCTATAAATATAATTCAGAACAGTTAGAGTATCATCAACGACAATTTATACATTCACTTACCTATTGAATCCACCTCTACGATTCATGTATTGTCGATACTTTATAGGCTTACGGATCTTTGCACCTGAGATATCAGCACCAGGTACCTTTTTATTTTTTGTCGTATCAAAAGTACCAAAGCCCATCAACTTCATCATTTTTGTTTCCTCATCCTCCTCTTCATCTCCTTCGCTTCTTTCGTCATGATCATGCTTCGGTATATCATCATCAACTTCATTATCTCTTCTTTTAGACATAGATCTGTGGCCTGTTACTGAGGGTGAGCGACTACGACTCTTATAATTTCCACGGTCTAAAGTGATACGTTTTTATGAACAAAGTGAAAAATAAAACGCAGTAGGCCCTTACCTCTGCGATCAGGACTATGTCTTCTTGGCCTTCGTGAGGGGCTTCGGCTGTAGCGACTGTAACTCCTTCTTCTTGATGGAGAAGGACTTTTGCTATATCTTCGTCTCCTCGCTGATGGACTTCTACTATATTTACTTCGTTCATTTCGTCTGCTACTATATGGCGATCTACTTCTTCTTCTTCTTGGAGATGGCGATCGACTACTGTAACTATCTCTACGTCTTCTCCGTGGTGAATATGAACGTGATCTTGAACGAGGTTTATCCAAGTCTCTATAGTCTCTGGTTCGACTGTATCTTGGAGAAGGTGAACGAGCCATATTATAAGTAAAAAAAAGAAAAATCCATGAGGTTCTACTGCTGGATAATTTTGCAGTGGTGAACATTGTGACTTAATTTACCACTTTCTTTCCCTTTTTCTTTTTTTGTGCTTTCTGTTATGCCTGTCAGTATTACCAAAGATAACAAAACAACTCTTTATATCAGTAAGCAGCCCCAAAAACAAAAACAAAAAAAAAAAGGAAAAAAGTAACACATCAACTAGGTGGACTCGATCAGCAAGTGACAGAACAGTTTTTGTATGCTGCATTCATTCCTTTTGGAGAAATAGTCGCTGTTCAACTTGCGCTCGATACAGAGATTGACAGTAAACATTCTTTTATTGCTTATATGGATTGGTATTTACTTTAATTTATTTCAGCTACAAATGTGCATAGAGGATTTGGATTTGTTGAATATGCAGATCCTGAAGATTGTCAAGCAGCTATGGATAACATGCACTTGTCTGAATTGTATGGTAAAGTCATCAAGGTACAGATTGCAAAGACTATTAATGTCACAACCACTTCCAACCGAGCAGGTAAGCGCCTCATTTATAAAGAGTGGTAGATCATTACTCATTTCGTTTGATAGTGTGGACTGATGAAGCATGGTTACAAAAATATGGCAACTTGGAGGAAGCGAGAGAAAATGAAGAAAAAGAAGAAACAACAAAAGACACGGTGCAGACCAACGAACAGGACGTGTCATCCTATGTGCCCTCTAGTGCGAAAAGGGGGCAAAAATGCCGTGTTTATTTGGATATTGAGATTGGAAACAACTTTGCAGGTCGCATAGAAATTGAGCTTCGAGGTGACGTTGTGCCCAAGACAGCAGGTATTGCTTTTTCTTTAAAAAAAAAAAAAAGCTAAAAAGAAATAACAACTAATGACGGCTCGCGTAGAAAATTTTAGAGTTTTATGCACTGGAGAAGCAGGATTTGGATACAAAAACTCTTCTTTCCATCGCATTATTCCTCAATTTATGTGTCAAGGTGGCGATTTTACAAAGGGTAACGGCACAGGCGGCAAATCGATTTATGGAGGCAAGTTTGAAGATGAAAACTTTACCTTGAAACATACAGGGCCTGTAAGTTCTATTGCTGTACATGAATAAAAGATTACTTATTAGTTCTTAGGGTACTTTGTCTATGGCTAACGCGGGGCCTAATACGAATGGAAGTCAGTTTTTCATCTGTACAGAAAAGACAGCTTGGTTGGATGGTAAACATGTTGTGTTCGGACAAGTCGTGTCTGGTATGAACGTGGTTAAGCAAATGGAGAGTTGTGGAACAGCCAACGGAAAGCCAACTAAGCGTGTGACCATTGTAGACTGTGGAGAGCTTTAAAAATAAAAAGAAAAAAGAAAAAAAGCAGCGTCATCTATGGCTGAAAATTTGATGCCACACGCGTTTCTAAGCGTTGTCCAGAGCTTGTGACGAAAATAGTAAAAGCTGAGGAAAAAGTAATATTATTTGGGCTTTGTTTATTCAATTGAGCACAATGTGTATATTATTACAGGGCACATTTATTTCTAAAAAAAAAAAAATAACAATGACTCTTACCAAAAGGAATTATAGCACAAGAGGGTATTCATGTATAAGGGTATTATTTGAAAGCACCCGTTGTTGCAAAGAACATGACAACGACTCCCCAAATGATTAGGAAAATAGCAGCGACATCTAAAAATCCAAACTTGGGTATATCATTAAGTAACAAGGTGGTGGTAACAGCTGATGAAGAAGAAGGACGATGATGATGATGCGGAATCAAAGGAGTCTTTATACAGTTTTCTTCAGTAAAGGAATTCACTACTGGAGGTCGTTGTCTTGTGATGAGGTATGCAGTAGCAGGAAGAATATAAGCTAAAAAGGTGGCAGCAAATCCACCAATCAAGGCATACAGTTTGCCGAGTGATCGGACGGTGATGCCCAAAGTGGTGATGACTAAGAATAAGATGATGGTAACAGTGTAATGCTGAAGATTTGTTGGGTGTCGCTCTGATGACTCAAATCCAAGCAATTTTTGAACCGCTTCTCTTGTGGGGTAAAATGCCATGCTAATACAACATTAGTTATTATGCAAATAAACAACACAATCATACATACGGTATAGTTAGGATCATGCTAAAGCCTAATAGAAATCTAGCGATATTTACAATGAGATCGTCCGCGGGAAAATTCAAGAACAGATTAGGCTGTACATCCTTGCCAAAGCAAAGATAACCAACAAGAGCAAAGGAGATGGATACAATCCAGCTCATGATAGAAGCGTATGTCGTGGTCGTATTCCATGATCTCATCGTTTGATGTTTCAAACTAAGAAAGACATTAAAGCAGACGTGGGGACATGCAAATGCAAATGCTAGAATGCCCAACGCTCCAAAGATATCGGGACCATGCCAGGCGAGTGGTGCTTCATGTGATTTGGAGTAAGCAGGCGCGCGCCAAATTAAAGCGAGGATGATCACAGGTAAACACAAGACAGACACAATGGACCATCTGGCAAGTGTACCCAATGACCGTGAGAGATTTAAAGGAAAGACCTAAATAGCAAACTGTTAAACTAGAGAGTCTTACGAGAAAGATGGCAATGAGCGAGATAATAAGGGGCCTTTGTGTAAGATTTGGATGCTCTGGAAAATATAGTTGTAAAAGGACAGG